AATTTAAAACTGTTCCAATTGTTTATTTCATCAACTATTTTGATTATGCTAGAAGAATTGGTATGTATTGAGATTCTATCATTGAAATTTGCAGTAGTAGCAATTATTATTAATACTGTGATTGCTATTTTTTTTGGTTTTTGCTAGTATTGATTGTGAATCTGTAATGATTTGTTATTTATTTTAATTGATGCTATGGGGATTGTTTGATCATTTTTGATTGTTAATATTAGTATATCAGCTTTCAAGACTTTTGTTAAATCTTAAGCTATTAATCATATGTTATTGTTTATATTTGTAAATGCTTTTGATATATTGTATGATAGTTTGTGATATTGAGGTATATATATAAAGGGTTGGTGTGGGGTTTGCTGCTATATTCCAGGTAGTATGAATTGGTTTCATTCTCTATGCCAAAACTTTTTCTTGTTTACTTTAATTCTAAATATTGTCTCTAGGGGTGTTTTAATCCTGCAGAATTTGTATTTTGTTTGTGAATATTTGCAACTTGTATATTTAGTTAGTTTGTTGTTATTGATGTCTAAATTCCAGTGTTGGAGTATAGGTTGTTGTATATTATATATTTGGATTCTGTCTATCAATTTGTGTTTCATAATAACCTATTTGTGCTTGTAATCTTTTGGGATTGGTTGCTATAAATAAGAGTTCATTTTTGGTAATATTGTTGTTACTGATATTTGTTCTTTGATCAAGTTTTGAATATTGCAGAACCATTTGGGGATTCTGCCTCTCAGGATTTTATATATGCTATAGTAGAATTGTGTTCAGGAGATAAACTCTGTACAATTATAATTGAGGAATTGTTCTAGTACAACTATTTGTTATTTGTTGGTAAATTTTTTAATTTTGGTTTCATCTTTAATATTTTGAAGTATATCATTAATTGATGTTTCTGTAAAGTTTATCGGTTGCGGCCATTCTTGAGGTGGGCTGTGAAAAGCTATATTGAAGTTGTGAGCTGTCTCAATAATTTGACTTGTAAAGGTAGTGTGTTGTAAAGGGATGAAAACTGCTTTTTGAGCTAATATTGAGGTATTAGTAAAAGCATTGTTTTGTAGTTGTTGTAATCTGATTTTGAAGATAGGGTAAAAAGAATCTAATTGGTTGAAAAGTGATAATAATTATGCATATATCTGTATTTGTGTTATGTCTTTTAAATTGTAAGTTAGTGGGTTGAGGATTGTTAAATTAGGGACTTCTCTTGCTAGTGATGCTTTTTGCTTGACAATTTGAATGTAGTTTGCCTTTAACTTTTTGCATGATGATGGTGATAGC